CTGTCGCCAGGCTGGAGTGCAGTGGCCAATCTCGGCTCACTGCAACCTCTGCCTCCCAAGTTCAAGCGATTCTTCTGCCTCAGCCTCCCGAGTAGCTGGAACCACAGGCGCGCATCACCACACGCAGTTAATTTTTGTGTTTTTAGTAGAGACGAGGTTTCACCATGTTGGCCAGGATGGTCTCTATCTCCTGACCTCGTGATCCGCCCACCTCTGTCTCCCAAAGTGCTGGAATTATAGGCGTGAACCACCAAGTCCAGAGATTCCTTTGAATTTTCTACCTGCAAAATCATGTCATTGTAGAGAAAGATAATTTTACTTCTTTCTCAGTCTTTACGACTTTTATCTTTTTATGATCTTTTTATGCCTAATGGCAAGACCTCAAGTACAATGCTGAATAGCAGCATGAGAGTGAACATCTGTACTTTGTTTCTGACCTGAGAGAGAAAGCATTCCATATCTTATTAATTATGATGTTAGGTATAGGTTTTTATAGATGCATTTTATCAAATTCAGGAAATTCTATTACTTGTTTGTTTAGAGGTTTTATCGTGGAATCGTGTTGAAATTTTCAAAATATTTTCTGAGATATGCGGTACTTATTCAGAAAAAGGCATCTAATTTCCCTAGAGTTTTTTTCTTTAGAAGTATATTGCTTAATTTCCAAATATTTAAATATTTTCTAGATATCTTTCTGTTATTGTTTTATAATTCAATTCTAATGTGGCCAGAAAACATAATCTGTATGATTTTTATGTTACCCAGAGTTTTCTTGGTGTTACCATGGGAATGAAGATCTGCTAGAATCTTTTACCTGCTAACCAGAAACAGCTCATCTACTCCCTTTACCTCAACTAACTTAGCCTCTTCAAGGCAGGAATGATATCTTACTAGTTTCTGTATGGCAGTGCTTGCCACATAACAGAAATTCAATAAATGTAAGAATGTATTCACGCTGAAAATTGAACAAAAGGAAGCTTATGACTAAAACGTGGACTTGCCCTCAAGTATCCCATGGTGTAAGATGAAAGCAGTATGTAAACCGGTGGTTCCCTATTATTTGTAGAAGAATTCTAGAAAGGCAGAAGAAGGGTAGGCCGGGTGCGGCGGCTCATGCCTGTAATCCCAGCACTTTGGGAGGCCAAGGCGGATTACAAGGTCAGGAGTTTGAGGCCAGTCTGGCCAACATACTGAAACCCTGTCTCTACTAAAAATACAAAAAATTAGCCAGGTGTGGTGGTGCACACCTGTAATCCCAGCCTCTCGGGAAGCTGAGGCAGGAGAATCGCGTGAACCCCTGTAGGCAGAGGTTGCAGCGAGCAGAAATCACAACATTACACTCCAGCCTGGGCAACAGTGCGAGATTCCATCTCAAAGAAAAAAAAAAGAAGAAGGGTGTGAAATCTAAAAATGGAATCTGAACAATGTGATTGAAGTGTATCTCAATTTGTAGTGATACAGTAACTATCCTTTTCATTGCACTTTACAATTCATAATGTACAAGCCTTTCCTTGAGGAAGGGAAGGCATAGTATAGAATGACCCATGGGATTTTTAGGAACCTCACTACTGAGTTCATAAATTTAATTAACTTAAACAAAAGAAGGGAAATGGGTACATAACCAAGAGCAAATATAAAAGAATCTATTAAAAAATGACTGCTCGGTGGCTCAAGCTTGTAATCCCAGCACTTTGGGAGTCCGAGGAGGATGGATCACGAGGTCAAGAGATCGAGAACATCCTGGTCAACATGGTGAAACCCCGTCTCTACTAAAAATACAAAAAAAATTAGCTGGGCATTGTGACGTGTGCCTGTAATCCCAGCTACTCAGGAGGCTGAGGCAGGAGAATTGTCTGAACCCAGGAGGCGGAGGTTGCGGTGAGCTGAGATTGCGCCATTGCACTCCAGCCCAGGTAACAAGAGTGAAACTCCGTTCCAAAAAAAAAAAAAAAAAAAAAATGACTGCTATCAGGAAAGGTGACGTGAAGGATGACGATAACGGTGCTGATGATAATCACGTTTATTGAGTATTTACCATTTTGTAGGCATGGTGCTGAGCAGCTTTTGCTCCCAACAATCCTACATTATTATGCCTACCTTATGGGGAAGGAAACTGAGACTTAGAGAGGTTAGTTATTTGTCCAAGATTATGCAGTTAAAAAGTAAAGAAGTCAGGATTTAAACCCAAATATATGGATGTTGAAATTTGTGAAAAAAATTGAGGAGTGTTCCTTATTCACTGGGGCTTGTCATAGATGGGGGCCTGGGTCCCGGCAGGTAGGAGATGGGTTATGCACTCATATTTTGTCTGTTTTTCCAGAAGTAGAGTCAGCAAGGGATTTTTCAATGTAAACAATATACTGTCAAATGCCAGTATGTGTATGTTTGGGGGCAGGTCAGGAAGCAGCCAGTCTTCAAAGGGCAAACTGAAAATTAAAGTTTGAGACCGAGCTAACATAAACTGAGAGGGGTTGGACAAGGGACTGGTGAGAAGGGGAGAATCAAAGTGGACATGACCAAGGCGGAAATAGAAGGTAAAAACAAACCACCAGTATTCTGCCCTGAGCGTGTGTCAGTCACTGTGCGTGGCACCTGTAGAGCCATTATATCATGTGATACGATCACTCATGAGATAGTTACTCTTGTCCCCCTCTTAGAGATTAGCTCAAGTGGCATTAGGTAAACTTAGAATTCCAAGATCTTAAACACTTTATCTCTCCAATGATGGCTGGATGGTATGGACCAGGACCCGAAGGTGGGACATGGGAGTAGGGGACAGTCAGGAAAGGAACCTACTGACTGGGACCGATTCCCCTTGTTTAACCACTGCCATTGCAGGCTGGCTTATATTGATCCATCTAAACATTTGCTGATACTGCTCCCAGGACTTCTAAAGGGAACCTGTACTTTAAGGCAAAACGTAAAGGGGCTTTAAGTTATCTTGGGCACAAGACACGTATATGCCCATTGCTTGAGATCGGTATTGTAATTGGCACAGTATTAACAGATGGCAGAAAACAGATTCTTTCAGTATTTATGTCCCTTCCATAGTTCCTATCAAGAAAAGCAACGTCAAGTTAGAAAAGGTTCCCACAGATATTAGTGACAGAATATGGAAGCCCAAGCGAGAAGGCTCTAAATGAATGCTTGGGGCCCAGGAGCCTGGCCAGACAAGTTATATTCCAGGAGACTTGCTGTCTGTCTTGAAGCACTGAGACTTTGAGGAAAGGCACTGGAAGCCCAGCCATGGGAAAACGTGGAAGTTTTTGACCTTTTAAATAAAGGGCAGGCAGTTTGGATGATCCTTTTCTGGTGAGCTGGATGCTGTTCCCAGGTGAGAGGCAAGGAGTCAGTGAACAGTCATAGACCTGCCATGTTTCTTTCTGAGAGAGTTGCTAGCCTGGTTTTCCAGGTATTGTGTGGATGAAGTGCATTTGGATTGCAGCATACATTTGACAGATAAAGTCTCTATCTTTGAAAATGAGATACACCCATGGACAGACAAGGGCTGATGGCAACGAAGGCAGGTAGATGAGTAACTGATGGGATTCAGAGTACTAATGAATGAGTTGATGTCGATCTAGAGAAAAGATCTTTCACACCACAGGTTTCTGGCCTTTGCCTTGCCTTGCTAAGCATTTTTATTAATGTCTTGGATGAAGACGTTGATGGCCCAGTGATAAAATTTGTGGGTGACACAAAGCTGGAAGGGATAGCTAATACATTGGACAGCAGAAATTGCAACGCAAAAAAGATTTGACAGGCTGAAACAATGGACCAGATCTAACAAGATTATGTTTAATGGGGATAAATGTAAAGTCTTAACATTTGGTTAAAATAAACAAGCAAATAAGATGGAATAAGCAGCAGATGGGAAAGATGTGGTTTGATAGGAACCTGTGTGAAAATAATAGAGATGTTTCAGCTGATTATAAGCCCAAAATGAATCACTAGTGCACTGTAAGTCCAGGCTGTAATAGAAATGTGGAGTACACTAGAAGGAAGGCAGCAATCCTTTCATGCTCCAAAAAACGGATCATATGTAGAGCGAGTTCTGTATGGCAAATATCATTGTATGGATTCTCTCGGTTATTTTCACTTGTAGCCTTTGAGTAGGATACCGGAGCTAAGAGAGATTAAGTTACCTGTCCGAAGTCACACGACTAGAGCCAGGATATGGACACAGGTGTTCCGACTACATGCAGGTGTTCTGCCCTGGAGGGTAGAGCCATTGCCAATGAGATGAAGAGAAAAAGAGGTATATTTGGGTTCCAACGAGCCTGAACTTCCTAATGAGAGCACTCTGACAATAGGCTGGTGTCTCACAAAGAGTGAGGCCCTGCCATGGGAATGGCCTCAAGTACAGGCAGGTTGATCAAGTGTCAGCGACAAGCAGTGGACAAGGTAACTGCTGAGCTCTCTTCCTACTAAGGGTTGTTGAGCTTCTAGACAGATCCTAACATCCGGAGTGCAGAGTCCTGGCATTTTTAAGTACAAGGGAAATTCCCAGGAGGTTTTCCATTTATCGCATTTCCACAATGAGCTTTAGTAACCTGCTCTCTTCATAGAGTTTTTATTTGGTTTTTAACATTTTTTCCTTAGGGAGTTTTGAGTTATGTGCTATCCTTTACTCATATAATGAAAGCCCCTAGAAAGCTGCCTCAGACCCACTGTGGAAGGATTAAAGGAACAAATAAGGAAAGAAACAAGCACATATAATGTTTTCTACTTTATTGCAGTATCTGTGTCCTCTTACTGTCAACAGATATCACATTTTGATACTGTCAGGATTCATATATATGTGTGTGTGTGTGTGTGTGTGTGTGTGTGTGTGTGTGTGTGTGTACATATATATATATATATATATATATGTAATAGTCTTTCACTCCATCCTCCTTATCCCAAAGCTGGCCTTTCTAACTTATTTTTTCTATTCTGCAGTGGTCTAGTGAAAGAGAGACCTATAACATTAACAGTTAGAGTTTTAAGGAGAAGATGAGTAAATAGGTTAAAAGCAAGGAGCCGAGAACATACTCAGTCAGGAGTCACTTTATGTGATCCATAATACATGGACTTTGGTTCATCCACTTTGATGGCTGAGACACCTCCATCTTCTGTCTTCCAAAATTCTAGGTATTTTACTCTTTGTTTTGGATAATTAGGTTTGTGGACTTGCGGCCTCATAAATAAGATATTTTTAAAGTATAGCTTCCCACATTAAGGAAAGAAACAGCGACCCGGCAATGAGGCTGACATTCCGTTATGCACCTAGCCAACGAATCCATCTGAACAGCTCCTGTCACTCACCCAGTGGTGGAGAAAGCCGGCACTGCCCAGTGTAATGAGGCAATGTCAGGCATTGTAAGTAAATGTGCCTGGGCCTGCACTTAACAGTCTCATGCTGCAGTCGCATTTTCAAGGAAGCCTACACCATCTTAATCATGCCTGCCAGGGAAGAAATTCTCTTCTCTGTGTTTTCTTTTCCCCAAGACGTATTTCCCCTGTATCATTTAAACATATTAAATTACTCTTAGTACGCAGAGTGGGCATCATGTTAGCATAAGATCTAATCAGAGCGAGTCTGCTGGTCTCCAAAGGCTTTATTCTTTTTGTCTCTTTCCTCTGTTTTCTTGTTAGACTAAAGAGCCTTTCTTGACATCCTCATTTGTTCTGCTGTGTAATAGCATGGGATCTTTCAGAGCTGTCGACATCTGCTCCACTCTAGAGAGCTGCAGAACCATGCCAGCAGAGCAATAATAATTATGCCCGAATGGACTGAAAAGGATGCAAGAAATAAGACAAGGAAAAGTACACCCAGCGCGATCATGTGCTAACCTGTAAGTGGGTGTGTGCATGAGTGTGCATGTGCTGAAGCCATACGCTTATGTGTGCATCGAGGACACAAATCACTTTCCCGAGAGCAGAGGACTAGAATTCAATCAGGCTCAGAGTTCTCCAAAGTCCCCAGTCCTTGTTCCTTCACGCAGACAGCCATGTTCAATGTGGGTGCTGCTTTCTGCATGTCCAATAGCAGTTTGCAGGACGTTAGGGAGAAGGAATTTTCTCCACCTTTCCCTTATTCTTATATCTAGCGTGGTAACAAAGGCTGCAGATGTGTCTTCCTCCCTAGATGCTACTCTCTGGGGATAAATTAGGCTCCTTGGAAAGACGCTGTAAGTCTTCCTGATTGTCAAGATAGCAGTTATCAAATAACTGGTATGCTGGCCTTAGCTAATATTAAAAATGACAGCTGGCATCTTTTGGGTGCTTCGTATTTGCCAGGCATTGTGTAGGCCTTCATGTGCACTATCATTCATCCTTAAAGAACTTTATGAATGAGCACAGCAGCTTGCCCCTGTAATTCTAACCTGGGAAGGCTGTGGGGGGAGGATTGAACCCAGGAATTTGACACCAGCCTGGGCAAAATAGGGAGACCCTATCTCTATAAAAAAAATTAAAAAGTGGTTGGATGGGCTGGACATGGAGGCTTATGCCTATAGTCCCATCACTTTGGGAGGCCACAGCAGGTGGATCATCTGAGGTTAGGTGTTCAAGACCAGCGTAGCCAACATAGTGAAACCCTGTCTCTGCTAAAAATATAAAAAATTAGCTGGGCATGGTGGTGCATGCCTGTAATCCCAGCTACTCGGGAGGCTGAGGCAGGAGAATTGTTTGAACCCAGGAGGTGGAGGTATCAGTGAGCCAAGATCACACCATAGCACTCCAGCCTGGGCTACAAGAGCAAAACTCCATCTCAAAAAAATTAGTCAGATGTGGTGGCAGATGCCTGTGGTCCCAGTTACTCAGGTGGCTGAGGTGGGAGGATTGCTTAAGCATGGGAGGTTGAAGCTGCATTTACTCATGTTCATGCCACTGTGCTCCAGCCGGGATGACAGAGCAAGACCCTGTCTCAACAACAGAAAAAGAACTTTACAAGGTAGGAGTTACCATGATCTTCATCTGCAGATGAAAAAATTAGGACTAGGCCATATTCCCAGAGGCCCTGCTGGTACATTAAGTGAGCCTGGTGTTTCAAGGCTGTGCGTACACGTGAACAAAAGAACTGGCCGTGTCATTCATTTGTGATTCTTCAGCAAAGCAGCCAGGCTGCTTGGTGACATACTTAGCCAGTTCCAAGAAATAACTGTCAGTTCAACAAAGAACCGAACTTTAAAAAATAAAATAAAATCCCCAAAGCAAAGAACTCAGTATTTTTTCATTAACGGATTATTTTGCAGATTCCAGGCATCCTACCAAAGTCTTGAAGTCATCGGGCTCAGGGTGAGTCCTGCCCCTGCTCTGAGTCTCAGGGCCCTGCTTTGAGAAGCCAATGTATCAAGGGTGGACTCTCAGCAAAGGTGGGAGGCAGATGAGACTTATCAGCAGGGAACACACCCCTCCTCCTGTGCCATCCCCCTCCCCCAGCCTCAATTCCACTCTTGCCCCACTCCAGAACTTATTCATGTGCTCTCCCGACATCCTTTACCTCTTCAGAGCTTTCTCCTCCAGGGGCCCAGATGACTCACTTACACTAAAGCGACTTATCTTTAAAAAATTCATTTTAATCGGAAAAAAAAATACCTTATTTGGGCCAAAGGAATGGATCTCAAGTGGCGGCATTTTAAGGCGTTCTCAAGGTAGTAAGATGGCTCCAGGTTGAAGAGAAAGTCTCCATAGCACTTTTATAATCATCCTCCATGAAAGGAGAAGAAAGTCTTTTTCTATCAATTTATATAGCTGGATCATGCTTGGAATGCAGTCGAAAGAGAAAGATACAGAACTTTACTGGAGGGTCAGACTGCTCCAGAACTTGGGAGTGGCGAGGTTTTCTCTGAGGAAGCACTTTCACTCTTTCCTTTCTAAAATTTCACTGAGTGCTACTCTACATGTGACAATGTTAACTTTGCAAAGAGAGAAAAATACTTACCTAAACAATTAAAAGCTTGGGCAGAAGAAAAAAAAAAAAAGCGGGGATGACTCTTGGGAGGGAGAATAAAACCTAGAGCTAAAGAGAAAAAAAAAAAAAAGCATGTGACACAATGTCTGTCAGCAGCTGTGCTGCTGAAAGTCACCCAACAGGAAGAGCAGGCAGCCAGTGAGATGGAAACTGCAGTGCAATAAAGCATCAGTGAGGGGCAGGACTGACGAGGGCTGTGGATAAAACTGGAGCACACCTGGGACCAAGGAATAGCATAGTCCCTCCCTGTGTGACCAGAACATCAGCATAGATATTGTCAGGCCCAACTTGGTCCAAAATTAGCATCAGTCACCCAGTAATAGTAATGGTTACACTATCCTTACAGATGGTAGCTCATATGACGATAAGGTGTTGACTAGTGAAATGCACTCAGCCAGCCAAGACTTGGGCTGCAGCTCACCACATAATCTTTGTGGCTCTTGGTTTTTCATTCCAATAAAATTTTTTTGACCTCTGTAGAAAGCTGCAACCTACACAAAAGCTCTTATGACCATTTAGGAATTTGTAAGGTCTTTGTAAAATTCTACATTGCCTTCCTAAGTTTCCATGTTCCTCAACTGCGATCTCCCATTGATCTTCCCAGATGAACTGGAACAGTGTATCCAGGGCACTCCTACCTTGGTCCCACCCTGAAGGATGAAGGTCTCTGGAATCTGTAATGGGTGAGTGGCCTTGTAGTCCTTACTGGGAGATACATAGACGTGCATAGAGAGACGGCTCCTGAGAGCATCCCTTGCAGCTAAAGGCCACTGTGTGGCTCAAGTCCATCCACATAAGCAAATCTGCATGTTGTAGTTCTATAAAGACTGCTGCTCTTGGTCTAATTAATAGTTTGTTTGTTTGCATAATTTTCCACAGGAAGGACTATTAGCACATCAAAACAATGTTAAAAGTATCCTCCATAACGATAGAGTAAATACAAACCTAGTTTATCACGTTGTCAGTTTTAACAAACACCACTCAGATGTGCTAACCTTTTCCCAGCAGGTGCTCTTCTGGTCAATAGCCAGCAACAGGCCCAGTCTGTGAACTAGTTGATGGTACAAAAACCAAGAGTTTCTATAACGACATATCTTTTTAAAGTTCCAAAATACCTGAAAAATGCTGGAGGCATGTGTTTTACTTTCCTTCCTCCCTCCTCCTATTTAAAAGGTTTTGTAGAAAACCTGAGGGACTGATAGCACTTTTCTTCACATCTCAAGGGAGCAGTTTGAAAAATGTTTTTAGAACACTAATTTTCATCACACTCCAGGGAAAGAAAGAAAGGTGGGTCATTTACACAAAGTTAAAGATGTCTGTAAACCCCATTTCTGTCCTCCCTCTGAAAGAAAAGAGAGGGGGAATACCAAATCTCCTTGAAACTTTAAGAGCCCTCTGAGGTTTAACTCAAGAAAGAAAATGCTTCTGAAGGCAGAGAGCAGAGAATGAGAGCACGACCAAGCATGTCAGCTATCCAAAACACCCCAAGATACAGGTTAAACCCAATAACGATGACACTATCATGTACACCTCGGGAGGGGATTGGCAAAGGCTCCTTCTGTATAAAAGTTTACTCAGTAAAATCACTCAGGCCTTTCAGTGGGAACTTTGGCAGCTAAGGCCTGTGGAATGTTTTCAGTGACTAAAATTTAGCTCCGTTCGCTTAAATTATGTATTTAGTCACCTACATACTACTTTCAGGCTCATTTTCTTAGGTGGAAGATACTGAACATAATTTTGACTTCTTTTTTATGGTTATCAGTTGGCATGAGACTTGTCTTATTACCTGGAGGCTGGAAAAAGTAAGTTCAGAAATTAACAAAATATCACTGAGGCAACTAGAATGGCTTCTTAGGTAAAGGGATACCTAGCATCTCTTTCTATTACTCCTTAGGAGGAGTCTGATTACGTCTGCCATTTTCCTCCCCCAGGAAGCCCATGTGCCTCAGGAGAATCTGTCCCGACCCCTTCTTCCCACTTAGATTGTATTCCAGGGGAGGGCCTGATTTGGTCAACTCAATGCTTTGCAGTGGTTGGTTCAAAAATGATCATGTAAATAAAATTTAAAAAAAAGGACAAAAATTATCATGTGATATGTGATACTTTGGGCCAATGAGGCAAAAGGAAATGTTTTCTAGGAACCTTTGGGGAAAATTTGCTTGTTCATCAGGGACTGCCAGGGGAAGGGTCTCTGAACATTGCTGTCCATGGATGTGAGGCCAAGTACTACAGCTGCCTGGCTGAGCACGAAGCTGTGAGTTGGGAGAGCGACGAGCTAAGAGAACTGCAGGGAAATGGGGTCATAGCACATGACTCCATCAACCTTAAAGCCTGAAATGCCTCCGGACTTCAGCTGTGTGAGCCATCTATTATCCTATTTTACAAGCCAGTTTGAATTTTCTGTTGCATACACATAAAGAAATGGTAACTAATACAAGTTGTCAATAATAAAGGACTTCTACATAGTACTAATAATGAACATTTTTAAAATTGCCTCTATGAAGAAAGAATGTAATTTGACAAATGGGTAAAAAGACGAGCAACTGCATTGTAATCGAAGTAAGAGGATTTCCTCTACAGTGTGAATGACTAAGTATGAAACCATTTAGCACTAGGCCCAAGACACTGTCATCACTCAGGGTAGTTTAAATAAGACCAAGAAAAATGATCCAAAGTATTAGAGACAGAGATATACCATGGTCATACTTAACCTTAGCATGGGACCTTTTGAAGAGAATAAGTAGAAATAATGCAGTGTACAGTTTAAAACATTCCTCAAGATACCCTGGTCAAGAGACAAGAGACTGTTCTAGAGGTTCTAACAATAATAATACAGTTTCAAATGGCTGGAGGATGGCCAGCCTAATTTGTATACACCAAAACCAGTTTTGTACATAAATTAAAAAAGGAAAGCTTCAAGAAATTGGGAAAGTGTTCCTTCCCCATCTGAAATACTTCCCCAAATGCCTAATGATTAAAATTATGTTGACTCTGGAATAAAGACATTCCTTTAACAGGAGATAAATGACCCCAGATGCAAATTTCCATGGGAGCACTACTATGGTAATAAAAACTTGGCCATGCTAAAGCGGACATTTGTTTACTTTCTATCTGAGTATCTCCAGACTATGAGCTTTGTGAGCAGAGATGCTTTTGTCTTTTTCACTGCTTTATCCCTTGCAAATGACAAAGTGCCAAAATGGTGCCTAGTCTTTTGTATGTGAAAAATAAACATTTGTGAATGAATGAATGAATGAATGGCGGACATCCGAGTCTTTACCAAGAACAAACTTTTATAGGACGGAAGAACATCTCCAGAAGGCACTCTGGTACAAATAGATAAAAGGAAAAGTGGACCCTAAAGAGGTGAAAGGGGCAAGAAAATGAACAAAGGATAGGAAAGATTTTTTTTTTCTTCATTTAGTCTAAGACAGGCCCTGATAGAGTTCCCACACTAGATCTGGTGTCAAGGAGTTGGAAGACTCTGATGTCCTCAGGTTAGAGAATCACAGTATTTGAGCTACATAGCAGAACCAGATTGCATCTTCACTCTCCACTGGTCCACCTGTCTCTTGTTCTCCAAATAGCAATTCCCTTCCCAGACTCCAGAGGTGAATTCCCTTCTGCTTCTACTTATTCCAATTCTGGATTTATTAAACCATTACTCAGATTTTAAAACACACAACACACATAGAAAAGTTTCTAAAATAGATGAGGCAAACTGGATTTTTTCATATTCTCAGTCTTTTCTTGATAGCCCAGAGATCCTGATTCCCTGGATTTTGGTAGTGGGAAGGTAGATGTGTGTTGAGAATGGAAGGGAGTTAAGAATAGGCTTCTAGAATTCAGACACCCTCTTAGGCTTTAAAATGTTGGGGTGGGGGGGAAGAGAGAGACAATCACTGCTTAGTCTGTTCAGGCAGCTGTGACAAGACACCATGACTGGTGACTTACAAACAATAGAAATGTATTTCTCACATTTCTGGAGTCTGGGAAGTCCAAGATCAAGGTGCTAGCAGATTTGGTGTCTGGTAAGGGATGGCTTCCTTGTTAATAAATGGTGCCTTCTCGCTGTGTCCTCACATAGTGGAAGAAGTGAGGGAGCTTTGGGGGTAGCTCGCATAAGGACACTGATCGTTCATGTGGGCCTGCCTTCATGACCTAATCACCTCCAAGGGCCCCCGTTCCTAACAGCATCAGCTATGGGGGTGAGGATTTCAACATATAAATTTTAGGAGGATACAAACATTCAGATGATAGGCTAGAGCACTGACCTAGGCAATGGCATCTACAGAAAAGAGAAAAATAATTTACTTTTGACTTGGGGTGTCTTGGATTTAAATCCCAGTCCCACCTCTAAATCATTTGTGACCCTTAGCCCTGCGAGCCTTGATTTTTGCACTTGTAAAAATGGGCAGAATATTAAATACCATTAGAGTTTTAATGAAAACTAAATGCTACCTCTGAAGTTAAATGAAGTTATAAGAATTAAATAAATAGGGCTGTTTTAAAGAGTAAATGTGCTCAGTAATTGGTGTTCTGTAAATGTTAGCCTCATTATGAAATATATAGAGCAGGATGTCAATTTACGGAAAGAATGTACATTTTTTTGGTCATAAATACCAATGAATTTTTCTTACAATGCCATTGGATCCATACAGACTCTATGGATTATATTTCAGCTTTTTGCCTTATCTCAGCTTTTTGCCTTTTCCTAAAGCTAATAGGAAATAGGGAAATGACATATACAGGCAATTTACAAAAGAAGAAACAAGAATATTTGGTAACACAGCAAGAGTTGTTTTTTTTTTTTTTTTTTTTTTTTTTTTTTTTTTTTTTTTTTTACATCTTCTTGGTCATCAAACACAATGTGAACAATCAGATACCATTTTCTTTCTCATACTGGCAAAGGTTAAGAAGAATGAAAATGCCCACTAACTGTTGGTAAGGAGGGAAGGGGAAAGGCACACACATGACATTAGATAGTTGGAGTTCAAATTGGGACAGCTGTTTTGGAGACCAATTTAAAAGTAGGCCCCCTCTCAAGAAACAAAATAAAACTTTTAAAATGTTTAACCTGTATTTAAGGCTAAAAGTATGCCTACTCTATGATTTAGTAATTCCTCTCCCAGTTTATACTTTTTTTTTTTGAGATGGAGTCTTGCTTTTGAGAGGGAGGCTGGAGTGCAGTGGCATGATCTCGGCTCACTGCAATCTCCGCCTCCCGGGTTCAAGCAATTCTCCTGCCTCAGCCTCCGGAGTAGCTGGGATTACAGGCGTGCACCGCCACGCCCAGCTAACTTTTTTGTATTTTTAGTAGGTACGGGGTTTCACCATATTGGCTCAGATGGTCTTGATCTTCTGACCTCATGATCCGCCCACCTCGGCCTCCCAAAGTGCTGGGGTTACAGGCATGAGCCACCGCCCCGGCCTATACTTTTTTAAAGTATAAATATGTCAGGCCGGGTGCGGTGCCTCACACCTGTAATCCTACCACTTTGGGAGGCCGAGGCTGGCGGATCTCCTGAAGTCGGGAGTTCGAAACCAGCCTGACCAACATGAAGAAACCTCGTCTCCACTAAAAATACAAAATGAGCCAGGGGTGGTGGTGGGTACCTGTAATATTAGCTACTCGGGAAGCCGAGGCAGGAGAATCGCTTGAACCTGGGAGGCAGAGGTTGCG